GACGCAGCGCACTTGTATCTTTGTACAGAAGTAGTCTGTCTTTCTCATCATCTACTTATTAATTAAGGAAGAAAAACTGAGCTACGCATGGTTACACAATAGAACTTATTAGGATTTCGCGTAACATTATCGTTTTCTCCACAACCGACCCCCAGCGGCGTGTTTGTGGACTTATAACGCTAAAAACCAGGTTTCGATATCTGTGTTGAGCACAGCACAGATAACAACTGTAAAGCTTTATGCTTAACTACAAACAAAGATTCAATCTGTACAACCATAAATATGAATACAAACAACCAAAGAGCCACACACCAACGTACAAGGCTCATAGTACCACCATTTTATAATGTCTTTACTTTCTTTACAAACACCAACAAATATTTTACAACAATATCTTTTAACGTCTTACTTTCTTTACACACACCAACAAATGGTTTACAACAATGTTTTTAACGTCTTACTTTCTTTACACACACCAACAAATGGTTTACAACAATGTTTTTAACGTCTTACTTTCTTTACACACACCAACAAATGGTTTACAGCAATATTTTTAACGTCTTACTTTCTTTGGGTACCCATTAAACCAACACAATGACAAACATACTGTGAAATAGGGCTATATCAAAGGCTCCTTCACAGTAGAACGCAATAAAGATAACAGTTAAAGGTAATGATTGTGTTTGGGGTGGAGCTCTCTCGTTTCCCTCACCCGGCTCAGTCATGCCGGTCCCGGCAACTTTTAGCCCATAACCGCAAGCACGCAGTCAAGGTCCCAAGTGATAGCTCAGAACCGATGGAAAGCGTACAATAAAACTAATATAAACATATTTTTAGCAAACCGTTTTAAAACTTCCTAAAGTTATCCTTGAAGAACGAGCGTGGATTACACTTGCTAGAGTAAATAAAGTACAAGGAATGCACGAGTTAATGCCTGAGGTAAGACATTCCTAGCCAGGCGGACTTGATTATTTCCATTATAACAAAAATTATCTCTATAAGAAGAAAGACATAAATAATTGAAATAACGAATACAGTAAGGCTAAAAAAAATCACAAATAATTCCTGACTTGATGCAAACAAACATAGGAAAAAATAGAAATATCAGTCATCCAAATTTACTAGGAATATCCATTTTAAAGTTCAGATATAAACAATGTCATCATATAAACAAAGAAATCATCATCAGTTTTAATTACAAAACATGACTTGTTTTTAGGAAAGAAATCTTAAAACCCTTCTTATATTGAACACGATAAAAATGTTTTCAATTCGATTTCGGTCAAATATTTTATAAAATATAACTAATTGCTTTTGATTTGTGATCGTCACATTTCAATTATTGATAATTCGATAATACGTGAAATTTAAACGTACAGAAAATATAAGTTGTAATGACTGTTTTCACGTGAATTTCAAGCATAGCAGATTAGGTTTAACCGTTGAAAAATATCAAGAATTTTAGCAACATGTCCGCAGAAAACTAAAAAAGAAACGATCTGTAATTTATCTGGAAACATATATTTCGATATATATATATATATATATATTGTGGTTATAAAGAAAATGTGAGTTAGGTTTTTGATTTATAGAACTTTATAACTTCGTATTCATCAACTCAAAAAATAAACATTGATAAAGTGTTCTCATTGTATTATTCTGCCGGTAATTTCGTTTCGATATTATATTGTTTATTTAGTAACAACACAAGTATTATTTCTATTCATGTTTTATTCATGACTATATGTTACTGAAGTAGGAAATACTAAATAATAAGTGGTTTTGTGTGTCTTAATTACACCCAACTTCCCAGGTAGGTCTAGTCAAGTAATTATGATTGGTGGGTAAATGTACATTTATTATTCATGAAGCCGGAAAGACAGTTATCATTAGATAGCGAAAGAAGCTAGCAGTGTCTGAAGCCATAAAAACTGAAAATAAGAGAGCATATTGAGTAAACACTCCATTTCAAGAGACATCGCCATATGGTATACAGTTCAAGTAAGTACTTATCTCGGAACTAATTTTTATCGTCATCTAGGTCTTACAGAACGAATCAAACTTGAGAAACATCGATAATACTTACCTTAGAATGATGTCTAAACCGATGTTTGATTGAGGTCACACGACGTTATATCACTATCAGAGATGACAAAGTCAAGAAACTGATATTTAAAGTAAATACTTTGTCTAATTCAAACACTTCTAATGACATTCATACGAGAATGACAACATGAAAAAAAGAGATTGAACAGAATGATAATACCGAAGAAATAATGATAATAAAAAAAAATAACTGTTTGCACAAACGAACTCTCTCCGAGCCGTCTGGTTTCTCCGACTGCCTTAAATCCAAGATGGCGACGTTCTAATTACAGCGTGTTTTTGTGTGCTACTTGAGCCTGCATGGTACCCTGGGGTGAGTTGAACCCTGTTAAAACAAGCTTGAACAAACGTGCGATGAACACCACGTGTAACTAACTCCCTGACATCTTTAAGTACCAACTGTATTTCAAACAGCAACATAAAACTTAACAGGAAACTACTTTCAGTACTGTTATTACTCAGCGAAAACAAAACAACAAAACAATTAAACTAACGTTTATTTTCAAATATGACCTTGAACCCAATGTAAAACTATGTGAAGAAAAATTATAAGTTTTTCTTTCTGCTGTTGTTGTTGTTGTCGTCTAAGTTTTTCATTTAATTTTTTGATCTTTCATTGTTTTAAAAACCCTCATAATCCTTCCCTCTATCTTATGCTTTAATATTTTTATCTATATCATATTCTACCCTACTTAACTAGAAGTTTTTTAGTTGCTTTAAGTTATTTTCACTCTTTACCATCCCGGTTCATTAATTCTTTACATAGGTAATGAGCCCATAAATTAATTTAAAAGTTATATATTTCCTCTTCATAAACTTGTCTGCAGAGAAAATTTATCATAAATTAATTTAATAATGACTGAAGGGGTAGTAATTACTAGCACGCAAGCCTACTGATCGAGCCCATCCTCTTGGAATTAACGATATTTCCACCTTTTACCGACATTCTACTTCAGAAAAAAACAACGAAACTTTAGTAAGCACGATACTTTCTCCATTACACCCCCTTCGTCAGTATATCTACACATATACATCATACAGGCTATTGTATATACTCGAAATATCGAGTTTCGTGAATAGCATCGTCATAAATACCTGACTTGATGTTGCACGCGAAAGTATACAAGCGGCAGATTTTTTATCCATGCTCAAAATGTCTGAACAGTGTTTTAAGAAACGTCAACATGTATTCAATTGAGATAATGTAGATTCTATCTCCACATGATCACTCGAACTTGTTAGTCTACAATAACAATAAAGTATCTTTTTAAACATCCTTATACACCTGAAACCCTCATGAACCTTAGATCCCTTTTTTTGTTTTTTAAACACATGATGAAAATGATAGGTTGCTAAGGGAATGAAAGCGTTGTTCTACTTCAATCATCTCTGATGAGACAGGTAACTAACAGTTCAAATTACAGTCTTTCATGTTATATAACTTTATTAAAGGGAAATTCGGACGCTAAGAAAATAACCTTTAGGTTAAAACTAAACGTGTAATTGCTTAATATCAGATGAGTATCGTTGTTATTTCGAACAATTAAAACACGAGTTTGCTGAGAAAACATCTATACTCATTTCTGAAATAAGTATTTCAAATTTATTTTATATATATTTAAAATATGTTTATTTTTTTTGTCTCATAACCTTATTAAAGGCAGTTTCAAGTACACTACTTTATTAAGTTTGTTTATTTGTTGTTAAGCTACTCAATGGACCATTTGTGTTATGCCTACCACGGGTATCGAGACCAGCTTTTTAGAGGGGAGGGGCATATTATTAAAAGCATATTCTAGGATTACACACATTAGTTTCAACAACTAGGGTTCCTGCTTCTATATTTTCCAAAAATCAACTCTCTTAAGTTTGAAATTAAAAACCTGTTTTATGTGAAAATTTATATTTCTCATGTGGTTTTAATGCATTACTTGGAAACAGTAGACTGGTTACTTACTGAACGTGTGTTGCACATAGTTTCTTCTAACTTTACTTATTACGACTGATTCGTGTACATATCAGTAATTCGCTAGAAATCTCTCTTGGTTTACAGCTGGTTCTGAAACATCTTGGCTCTTCTGCCTTTAAAGTCAATGTCTGAAACCCCCTAAATATTGGGTTTTGATACTCGCTGTAGGCAGATCACATATTGCCCATTGTGTAGTTTTGTGCTGAACCACAAACGAACAGTGACTAAGATTATTTATAATATGTCTTCTATTGGAATGCATACATAGTAAAATTGTAAATTAGAGTTATGAATTAAAATCTAGTTATATGCAAAAATGTGGAGTAGAAAAAATATTATTTATACGCATGAATACACGTAGATTGGACCTGGTAACTACAGTAAACCAAAAAACATGAAAATATTTTAAATGTTTCATGTTTACGAAGTGGAGAAATGTCCTTCACGTCCTAAAATATTTATCAATTCAGTTTTAAAAGATCATGCAAATTATCAATTCACTTTAAACTTAATTAATGGTGATTAAACACATTTGCTAAAATGAAATAGAGAGAGTAAACATTTAGTTATTCCATCATTTCTTCAAATTTATGTTAAAGACAAAATATAAAATTAACTATTGCAAGCAGAGTCGTTGTATTGGTTCAACTTTTTTTGCTACCTGGCGATATATGTATCCCTCGTTGTATTAAGCATGTATAATATTTCTACATGTTGTATTACGTTGTCATTTACTGTGGGTGTTCATTCGCCACTGTTTAGAAAGAGTATACAGACGTATGCTTACCACTGTAATGCTTTTCCAGGGAAGTAGAGTGTCATATCGGTATAATTCTCAGGACTTAGCGCTAGTATGTTTTTTCTCGTGACGGTTGGTCCCATTTTTGTGACTTCCATCAGTTTTTGTTTTTGGATGCTAATAAATATGTCCAGTTTCTGTGTATTGGTAAGCTACGTGGATCTAAGAAACAACTGAAGTATGTTTAATGGGTGTTCGGATCTAAGAAACAACTGACGTATGTTTAATGTGTTCGTAAGTAAGATCTACTCCATTTTTATACATAGTTCCTTTGTAGTGTTTAAAATAATTTTCAACACCTTTTAACTAGTTCTTCACTGAAGTTATCCTAATATCGTGGGATATAATTGGACTAAAACTATCGTTAACACGGGAGGGAGAAGCTTACCCAAATAATGATGATGATTCGATTCATTCTGCTCATTATAGGTTTTACGTTTTATTGTGTACTGATTTATGATACTGATTGAATTCATTAATGCATGGGTTACTTTTATAATTTTGTCCTACAGAGTTACCTTACATTTGAATAAAAAGTATTTAACAATTTAGATTTCTTTGCCAAATTAAAATCAATTAGGGATTTATATTAAAAATAATACACACATAAGTAGGTATAACACTGATTCAGTCAACTACTGTGTCGTCTTGCATAGCTAGAACACTGAATTTTCTCTTTGATTGAAATAAAAACCAGAAAACTTGTCCTTATTTCTTTATATCCCCCTATAAAACCCACGTTGTGAGCCTAACTAAATATCTGAATTTTTAGGTTTATTTGCAAAAACTGACATCTGTTAATAAAAAGTTTAATTTGTTTTCTGCAAAACATTTGGAAAGATAAAACAACTGAGCAACGTGGTAGCATAAGGGCGCCATTCTGTTTTTTTCCAGAGTATTTTTCCACGTGTATTACGTACGTAACGTATGATGTCACAAATGTGATCAAAAAGTGCATATAAAGCAAGCCTAAATATGTCAAGTTAATGTATGAATCACAACTAATGAAATAGGTAAAATAAATAAATGTTTGCAAGCTATACCTATAAGTAAATTAATATTAAATTTACAAATATTGTATAACATCTTTTGCAGCTAAAAATATTACTAATATTTGTCTATTTACGGGGTAAGTTGTTTTGGGTTTAAACTATTATTGTATTTTTTGTACACTGACATACTAGACTCTGCTGTTCGATACCGTATAAAATGTCACATCAAAACCTAAAGGAAGAAAATGTTTAACATTTCAAAGACATAGCTTTAGACAAAAAGGACATTTCGATATGTTTAAATGTGTTTGTTTTTCCATCTTGAAACCTATATAATTGTGTTTGTGATAGTTCCCTCCCCCCAGTTCTGTTAGCGGAAAGTGATAAAATGCAAATTACAGAGTGAAATATTATCCAAGTTACAGAGTGAAATGTTATCCAAGTTACAGAGTGAAATGTTATCAAAGTTACAGAGTGAAATGTTATCAAGACAGTACAGCTACAGGTGAAGGAAAAAACAACAACACTTTGTTGGTTTAGCTTCCTTGGAATTCAGACTTTTTTCAATTATGTCATTAGGTTTCAATTTCTTCTAACGCTGCATTTTTGTCTGGCGTCACTAAATATAATAATACGGTTAGGTAAAGTCCACTGAGCCACAAACCTAAACCAGACAATCTAAGTAAAATATCGTATGTAGATATGGTAATCGTTTAAAATAACAGGCCAAATACTCGGAATAATATAGATAAAGTAACCAATAATTAGTCTGGAAGTAACCTAGTTAGCATCGTTTTTAATAAATAACTGTTTTAACAAGGTTGTAATATGCATTGGCTACACAAATAACTGCTTTAACAAGGTTGTAATATGCATTGGCTACACAAATAACTGTTTTAACAAGGCTGTAATATTCACTCATTACATAAATAACTGTTTTAACAAGGTTTTAATATGCATTGGCTACATAAATAACTGCTTTAACAAGGCTGTAATATGCACTCATTACATAAATAACTGTTCTAACAAGGTTTTAATATGCATTGGCTACATAAATAACTGTTTTAACAAGGTTTTAATATGCATTGGCTACATAAATAACTGTTTTAACAATGTTTTAATATGCATTGGCTACATAAATAACTGTTTTAACAAGGTTGTAATATGCATTGGCTACATAAATAACTGTTTTAACAATGTTTTAATATGCATTGGCTACATAAATAACTGTTTTAACAAGGTTGTAATATTCACTGGTTACATAAATAACTGTTTTAACAAGGTTGTAATATGCATTGGCTACATAAATAACTGTTTTAACAAGGTTATAATATGCATTGGCTACATAAGTAACTGTTTTAACAAGGTTGTAATATGCATTGGCTACATAAATAACTGTTTTAACAAGGTTGTAATATGCATTGGCTACATAAATAACTGTTTTAACAAAGTTGTAATATGCACTGGCTACATAAATAACTGTTTTAACAAGGTTGTAATATGCACTGGCTACATAGATAACTGTTTTAACAAGGTTATAATATTCACTGGTTACATAAATAACTGTTTTAACAATGTTGTAATATGCATTGGCTACACAAGTAACTGTTTTAACAAGGTTGTAATATTCACTGGTTACATAAATAACTGTTTTAACAAGATTTTAATATGCATTGGCTACATAAAACTGTTTTAACAAGGCTGTAATATGCATTGGCTACATAAATAACTGTTTTAACAAGGCTGTAATATTCACTCGTTACACAAATAACTGCTTTAACAAGGTTGTGATATGCATTGGCTACATAAAAAACTGTTTTAACAAGGCTGTAATATGCATTGGCTACATAAATAACTGTTTTAACAAGGCTGTAATATTCACTCGTTACATAAGTAACTGTTTTAACAAGGTTGTGATATGCATTGGCTACATAAATAACTGTTTTAACAAGGTTGTAATATGCACTGGCTACATAAATAACTGTTTTAACAAGGTTGTGATATGCATTGGCTACATAACTAACTGTTTTAACAAGGTTGTAATATGCACTGGCTACATAAATAACTGTTTTAACAAGATTGTGATATGCACTGGCTACACAAGTAACTGTTTTAACAAGATTGTGAGATGCACTGGCTACATATTAGTGAATCCAAAACAAAGGGCTGTGAATCATACATTATAAGTTTTTTAGAGAGACGTTCTTATTTAGAAAATAAGGAGTAGTTATCTGATTTTTGTCAAGAAATCTTTGTTGACCATATCTTAATCTCTACGTGATATATAAGTCAATCTCTAACTTTGGGTCAAAGAAAATTTTCTTTTCTTCAGAATCTGCAAAAAAATGAATAATTAGTATATCTGACAGTGAGAGTGAAATGCTTAGCAATTAAACATACGCGATCTTAAGCAAATAAACGCTACAAATCGACCGAGGCGGAAGGTAGCAGCTCTCTCTCTCCTCTTCCAACTGACAATTTTCCTTTAGACCTGCAATGTCACGTGGTTGCTAACAATTGAAATGTACCGGGGATCTAACTAAATTTTGAGGCTTGAACAATGTTGGTTTAGTATGATTACACTAGCATGTTCTGCACAGAAAAGGTTTTAATTGTGCTGATGTTTTTTATAACATTTCAAAACTCTACGTAACGATGTGATTCTTGCGACCCCCGCTGAATTTCTCCGCAGAGCGGTTACTCTTACGGTAAAGCAGCAATAACAGGGGCAACAACACCACTACTGCACGGACAAAAATAGTGGACATGTAATATTTAATTCATACAAAAATTAACTTCGAAAAAGTAATGGCAAGTCAATTCGATTTCATCAAACACGGCCAATGTCATATAGTCTTTTACTCTCCTGAGTTTTTTTTTCTCAAAGCGGAAAGACGGCGCCGGCAATCGTATCAACAGCCCTCATTTAGGCAACACGTGCAGTGTGGTCCTTCGGAACAAGAAAGATCTTTTCTTTGTGATAATGATGCCACCGATGGCTTGTAATGAGGTTGTTTTTTCCTCAGAGAAATTTCTGTGTGGTCTTTGACAAAATGTTTACTACCGCCTATATACCAGAACATATATGTCATATATGAATTTTTAGAATCTGTTATCCTCTGTGGAAATTCTTCTCGAAAAAACATGAACGCGAGTGGTAGATTATTTGTTCAAAAATGTTCATTAATTTACGTTGGGATTTGACCTTTCGAGTCACGTTGACCTAATCATTTTCTTGTATTCGTTTCGATCTTTTTGCCAAATAAATGTAGGTAAATATGACCAAGTGAATATTGACTGCCACAAATATCCCCATCCAGTTACTAAATAAATGATCAAATTTGGGAAAATAATTGGTTCTAAACGAGTAATGCATCAAGCTAATCCGCATTTTTTGGCTTTCCAAATATTTTAAAAGTTATTCTTCTTACAGTAATGATGATAATTTCTAATTACCATTTTGCTATAAACAGATCCCAAAGATCGTAAATAATTGTTATACCTATCTTAAAGTGATGTAGTTTTAAAAGTGCTGTTACATTTGAAGTTAAAATATCCATAACGTTTTAAACAGTTATCAATAAATCATCGCAAAGTCCGAGAACTGGGATGTTAAAGTGGAAAACATTATGCCCTGGATGCAACCTTCTAAACAAACAAATAAAAGCTACAAAATAACCTTCTTAAAGTTGTGTTAATTATATTAGTACTCCGTATTTGTTGTAGAAGTTGCATTTAAATGTATTATTTTATTTTATTCTGAGCTATAAAACTGCTCAAGATTTAATGCTAGTGTATTAGTTGCAATAAGTACTTTATTAATTAGTAAAATATATGTTTGATATTTTAATATTTCTGTTGGTGTTCTCTACCAAAGGACTTATGGTGGCCAGTGTGTACTATAGATATTCTTATATTATCTATTTTTAATGGTAAAAACGTACAAAATGTTTTAAAAAATATACCACATTTAGATGTTCATTTTGAAATCATATAAATACAAAACGGTTACTTTATGTTAGTGAACATTTGAGAGATACAATCTATTCACAGTGTGCTTCGGAAAAGTATGACCTGCATTTACTTTGTTGTTCAAATAGATGGTGTTTAGCTTAGATGAGGAATTGTTTGTTTGTTATTAAGCACAATGTTAAACAAAGGGCTATATATGCAGTGCCCACCACGGGTATCGAAACCCGGTTTCTAGCGGTATAAGTCCGCAGACATACTGCTGTGCCACTGGAGCGCTAGATGAGGAAACAATTCTTGATTAATTAGGTTCTTTTATAGGTTTTTAAATTGGAGCGTTATCAAAGCATTTAATAAATAGGAGAGTATTTCAATTCAGCTTGGCAAAGAAAGCAAGTTGTTTTTACACTACAACATAATATAATAGTAATAGCATTTCTTCTTTGAAATGCTTCTATGTTTTAGTGTATTTGGATATTTTTCGTTTATATCACTAAAACATAGGAAGAAACTGAATATTTTAGTGCTTTAGTGAAATAGTGTTCTAGGTTATATATTTTTATGAAATAGTGCTTTAGGTTATATATTTTTATGGAATAGTGCTTTAGATTATATATTTTTATGTTTTAGGTTATAGTGCTTTTGGTTATATATTTTTATGAAATAGTGCTTTAGGTTATACATTTTCATGAAATATGTTCTAGGTTATATATTTTTAAGAAATAGGGCTTTAGGTTATATATTTTTATGAAATAGTGCTTCTAGGTTATATATTTTTATGGAATAATGCTTTTGGTTATATATTTTTATGAAATAGTGCTTTAGGTTATATATTTTTATGCTTTAGGTTATAGTGCTTTTGGTTATATATATATTTTATGGAATAGTGCTTTAGGTTATATATATTTTTATGCTTTAGGTTATGCACAATATTCATTATTACAAAATCAGCTTTAGTTTTTAAACAAATAACTCAATAGAATGAACATGTTAAAAATGATTTTCATGAATTCAACGTTCACACTTTGATTTCAACAAACAATAACAATATATTTTGCTCCCTAGTTTTGTAAAAAAAATATACAACAAGTAAATTATCTTATAAAGATATTGAAGGGACAAATGTCCAAATTTTAAACTAAAGTTTATGGGAAATGCAAGTAGAATTGAACAAAAATCTCCATGCGCTTGAGTTGAAATGTTTTTTTATCAGCCTTCCCACAATGGCATCTCGGTTTCATTATCTTTAGCTTCAGTTTATCAGACAAAGTTTAATGAGCGGCTAGTGATAAAATTATAACTACTTTTTTTTTTTACTCTGATCTTTTGATTTCCCGACACAAAGACTGGGTTTGTGTGAACATTGTTACTGTGTGCAGTCATGGGAAAAAGTTCCTGTTAGAGATGTGAGATTGATTAGATGTGATAGATTACTGCCTAGTGTTTGAAAGCATAAAGACTGCACGCAATGTAACTTTACACCTTGAATTACCTGTTGGGAAAGCTCTGTACAGTAACCACCTTTTCATAACGTGGCTTTCGGCACAGTTTGCAAGTCATGCTGTAACATGAATGTAAAACGGTTCATTCATGACTAGATTGTCTTCTGGAGTAGAAAAAAACTTTAACACTGTCTTGTACTGTCATCAAAAACTGTTTCTAAACGAGTTAAAAACATTACTCTGTGACTTCAAACATAACTTTAACAATAGCCCAGTCGAAGCAGCCATTTTAAATTTGTTTGTTTGTTTGTTTTGGATTTCGCGCAAAGCTACACGAGGGCTATCTACGCTAGCCGTCCGTAATTTAGCAGTGGAAGACTAGAGGGAAGGCAGCTAGTCATCACTACCCACAGCCAACTCTTGGGCTACTCTTTTACCAACGAATAGTGATTGACCGTCACATTATAACGCCTCCACAGCTGAAAGGGCTAGCATATTTGGTGGGACGGGAATTCGAATCCACGACCCGCAGATTGCTAGTCAAGCGCTCTAACCACCTGGCCATGCCGGGCCAGCCATTTTTAAATATAATAAGGTATCGTGTTCCAGTTTCACGAGGTGTAATAACAGTGATATTAGATCTAAAGATCCATTTTATCACGATATCTTATATATTATATATCTCCTTTCTAACACGTCATTCCTTTCATTGTTGCCATAAGACAGTGTATTATTTCAACATATGAAATGATATAACCGTATTTTCTTACTGAATTTTGTGTTGTAGTGTTTTAAATATTGAAGTTTTATCCTGTAAAATATTAAAATTGACCAGTGATAACAGAATCGGTTTAGTCTAGGGACTAATAATAGTTACAAAATATTGGATTCCTTTCTATCTACATAAATATATATCAATTATCAATTTCATCAAGTTTGTTTTCAAATCGGTAAAAAATGCCACTTTTTTATCAAATATTGTCATTAAGACATATTAAGTATGAAATCAATTTATTAAGATTTTGATAATCCTATAAAATAATTGGAAATATTTTTCCAAAATGTGACGAAACAAAATTATAATAAGTAACTTAATTATTGTATATAGTTGATAAAAACATTTCATGTACGAAATTTTTCAACGGACTGTACCAATACACTTTTGTATGGAAAAGGTGCCTAACCATAAACTGCCCCCGGCGTCTCAGCGTTAAGTCTGAGGCCTTATAACGCTAAATATCGGGTTTCGATACCCACGTTGGGGAAAGCACAGATAGCCCTTTGTGTTGTTTCGTGGTTAACAACAAAGCAATAAACATCACTCCTTTAAGATTGCGTTAGTATTAGGGAGATTAGTTTTACTTCAAGATCTTGAAATGCCTTCTCAGGCTGACAATGTTGCGTATACCAGTGTATGACGTTATATATACACAGGTCTGAGTATATAGAGTTACAGATCGTATTTCTTTCAGTAATTTTAACTTATGGCCATCCCAGTCTTCTATCATTTTTATTTTCAGTTTTCCTCGTTCAGAAATATTTCTATGTTTGACCTCAATAAGGTCTAGTTATAAGGTATTCATAATGTTAGAAATATACACAGGTTCAAGAAATCAATTTAACACAAAGATACCATACCCTACAACCCAAACGCTTTCGAAAGGTATACCTTTTTTCTTGATGTAAATAACTTAAGAGCTTTAACTCTGTGACACTTTCTCAAACGTCAAATTCAGACTCTTTCTAGTGCATTGTTTCCGTTTTTTTTCTTGAAAATTTCATGGGTTTATGCAAGTTTTTCAATCTCAAGTTTTAAAGCCGTTTTCAATATATCATGTTAAAGTAGAGAATGACTACACAAACCAAAACAAGAAACACCTTAAGTCTACAATGTATTACATTTGATGAAACATTAGATTAACCCTTTTTCGCATAATTCTATGAAAAAAGTTCGTTAGATCTGA